GAGAGAGATGGGTTTTCGAAGAAGAGAGACGAGAGATGAGAGACGAGGTAGAGAATCTGAAGAGAAGATGAGAGAGAGAGATGAGAGATGAGACGTAGAGATGAGAGAAGAGAGAGGAAGAGAGAAAGAGAAGAGAGAGAGAAGACGAGAGACGAGAGAAACTGACATGAATAGATAGACATGTAGATTAATCGATAGATAGTAAATAGATAGATAAAAACATTGATAGATATGAAATGTCAATCCAACATTATCTGCTGGTCGTTCGCCTGCTGTTGCCATCAACTGCAAATTGCCACATTCAAGAATTAATGATTTTCCCTGTGCGTTGACAAGTGAAACTATTTTTCTTTTCTTTTTAAAGGATACAACCCTGAAATGAGATCTAGTCTGATAGCTTTTGTTTCTCCACTAGAGTAAAATCTTTACGATGAAAGATTAATGAAATGATTTCCGTTATATTCCAGGGTTACTGATGCCGTAACCAGATCATCAATAAAGAAATTTAGTCGTCTATGAATCACAAGGAAATATAAAGAAAAAAAATCTTTAATATTGCGAAACAAATTCAAATGCAAGTTGAATCGACTTTTAAATTGACCACAACCCTCAACTGGCAGAGTTCCGAAGTTTATATATATATTTTTTTCTTTCTTCCTTTTTTTTATTCGTTTTTAACCTCACAGTTCCACGTTGAATTCATTTGTTCCTGACGTTTTGTTACGCCGAAACACGCACACATTTAATGCATTTTATACGATCATATTTATTCATTTTGTTTATTCATTAATTCTGAACTTCTTTGTATTGAACGTCAAGCTTGTATTTTGGATTAACGATTTTTTTTTTCTATATACATATGAATCCTTTTTGTGAAGGATTCCGTAGACGAAGAAAACGCATGTATCCACGCACACAATAAAGCGTGGAAGAGCGAACACACGCAAACTCTGTCACTCGTCGACTTCCTTACTCTCTCCATCACTTATTCATTCTCTTTCTCTCTCTCTCTCTCATTCATTCTCCTTTCCTCTCCTTCTCACTCATTTCTCCTCTCTGTTACTCGTTGACTTCCTTACTCCATCACTTATTCATTCTCTTTCTCTCTCTCTCTCTCATTCATTCTTCCTTCTCTCTCTCTTTCTCCTCTCTGTCACTCGTTGACTTCCTTACTCCATCACTTCATTCATCTCTTCTCTCTCTCTTTGTCTCTTTCTCTGTCTTTCTCTTACTCCATTCTCTCTCTTCTCTCTCTCTCTCTTTCGCTCATTCTCCTCTCTCTCTTCTGTTTCCCTCTCTCCTCTCTCCTCTCTGTCTCTGTCTCTGTCTCTGTCTCTGTCTCTGTCTCTCTCTCTCTCTCTCTCTCTCTCTCTCACACACAAAAACAGTAACCCACTCGCTCACACACACGCACACCCGCGCGCTCGTCCTTCTTTATGCTGACTGAATAGCTTTTTGTTATCCGCTTTTGTGATAAGATGCGGCGAATGGTATATACGTTCTCTTAAAGGCACTGCTAAGTTTTATCAGTTTATTTAGTCTTTTTATTCTTAGACTCTTGCAAGTCAGTGTCCAATACTGTGTCACATTCATGTATACATACAGACAATAATACATACATGTATACTTATTTATATGCATATATATGTATGTATGTATGTATATATATATATATAATATAATATATATATATATGTATATATACGTATATATATGTGTATATATATATATATATATATATATATATATATATATATATATATATATATAATATATATATATATATATATATATGTATATATATATATATGTGCATATATTACATATATATATATATATATATATATATATATATATATATATATATATATATATATGTGTTGTGTGTGTGTGTGTGTGTGTGTGTGTGTGTGTGTGTGTGTGTGTGTGTGTGTGTGTGTGTGTGTGTGTGTGTGTGTGTGTGTGTGTGTGTGTGTGCAGTGTCCTTACAGGGTGGTAATCTCAGCCATTATCGAATTTCATTGATCATCTACCTGACGCCTTAGACCTTCAATCATAAATTGAGATATCTTCAACCTGCTTCCAGGCCTATCTACCAGCTGCATTCGAAGCGTTCAAAAACTTTCAAAACTCTCGTAACATATATACTATACCAACGCTTATAATTATGCCCTATACATGAAAACAATGAATAATAAATATTGTGTCTATGACAGATTTTCCATAACACAGGAAACTGTTTCATAAATAATGAAAAATATGAACGATCCTTCGAGACTCTCTATTATTCAAGTCATTCGATCATCTTACGAATCTTAATTATAACCTTAAATTGCATTCTCCATTTCCATTTCTTTCTCATTTAACCTTTACCAAACGAGGCGAGGGAAGCCCAGGCAGGACTCGACTTCCCCAATCCGAGATGTAAGACTGATAAAATGAAAAGAAAGAAGACTTTTACACAATGGAAAAGTGCAATCCCTGAGCGCCTTTTGTTTTCGTGTAGTTTGCCGGGGTGTTCGCCTTGAAAATTAACTGGCACGACATTTCTCTCTCTTTAGAGCAAGCAACTTTAAACTAGTGACTCCAGTGGGATTTAATGCCGGCTATTGGTCTGGGGATCATGTTTTTTTGCTGACTATTGAGCTAGTAGGCGTTCTGCTGTTGATATGTTTAAGATGTTTTTTTGTTTTGTTGTCGCTGCAGCGTACGTCATTGGGTGGCGTTTTCGCTGACTTTCTACGATAACTTCTGATTTTGTTGCGGGTTTTTCTTCTTGGTTGTTTTCATGTTTGTTGGCTGTGGTGTCTTTGGATTTTTTATTAACATTAATTTTAATATCACCATCATTACGACTATGTTGCAATAATCATTACTCTGTTGCTATGGTTGTCAACAATATCATTACTGTCTTCGTCTACGTTGCGGTCAAAATCATGTCATTGTTGTTGTTATTATTATCACCATTTTCAATGTTATTATTATTATTACCATCATCATTCTCATTATTTCCATAATGAGTGCCATAGTAACAAGATTATATATCGATACGGTTATGTTTCATTGGTTTTCAGTTATCGTTATCATCATTTATAGATCCAAATTTTCAAGCATTTTGGGTGTATTGTTAACCATTATTGTAATATATTTTAATGTATCACCATCGTTTATAGATTTCCATTAACTTTTTCCTATGTATAGGCCTATTACAAACTGCGAATTTTCCTGTTTTTCTTTTATTTTTTGTCGTAAAAATATTTGCGATAACTACTGAGTTCAAGACAGAAATTAATTTGTAAACCCTGATTTTCCGTTTAATTTCAAGGAACATGCGAATCAAACATAACAAATCATTCACAAGAGAAAATATTCACCGTCCTATTGTTCATATCGGAATGCTTTTGTCTTTTTTTCTCGTTTTCATTGTAGAGACGCAAAACCCATCAGCTAAAGTGAACGATACAAACATCCATTCTGCGTGATTTTATTTACTTCCAATCAATACACGTCAGAGGTATCAAACAATGGCCATCGTTGCAGATTTGTTTCAATTAAGTAAATGCTGTATGTAGAAAGTCCAGCATATTTAGGTTTTTCAATAAAAATGAATTGTTATTTTTCTCTCGCTTATTATTATTTTTTTATTTTGCCATATGGTTATAATACGTAGAGATGTTGAATTGAACATTTTGGAAAAATGATAAAGATAGCATTGATCCTAATAACGTTTATTGAGAATATTCGATATCAATCCAAACAAGCAAGCGTGCATTTAACTATCATCGTATATATTATTTCGTAGTCCACACCTCAACGCCATTAATCCAGTGTCAATAATCCTGCCTGACCTAATAATTAAGCCATAACTCGATGCTGACCTTGCCGGTGCTAATTCATTTAAAAAATCATCAGTCTATCATGTACCTTATTATTATCATCCGAAGGTCGTTCTGTGGGAAGCCATTATTCGTCACAAATTTGATATTCGTTTTATGTATATTGCATGCACGTCGTTTTATTAGGATTGTTTATCTATTTTTTATTCATTCATTTATGTATTTTTGTCATGTTGCTTCTTTTGATTTGTCTTTGATTTTGTTTGATGCATGTAGTAATTTTGCGGGTTTTATTTTTTTAATGGTTTTATCCCGTATCTGTTTTGTTCCATTATGCTAGTTCAATTTGAATCATTTATTTTCTTTTTAACCACAGATATTAAGAAAAAAACCTTGACGTGTACTGTTTCTCCTTTTTTAGACCATATATTCATATAATGTTGAATTTTCATCGATTCTTTTAATCATCTATTTCTCCCAGTCATTTCCTTCTGTCCATAACCTATTATTCAACTATCAGAACCTTATCACCCATTTTCCCAAAAGTTTTTTTCTTAGCCCTAGTTTTGAAAAAAAAAATGTTATCTCTGTCTCCTGGGCAATCTGCTAGCCAGGTAGTCGTTATCTCATCAATCAACTCACTCATGAGGCCGGTTTGTTAAAATTGTGCGAGGCCCAACCCCATGAACATTCATTATACGGACATGCATGTACACAGAAATAAATGCGTATCTAGTAGTTGATACATTCATATCTACCGTATAGATAGATAGATGAATGTACATTTGATAGATAGAGAGACATTTATTTCTGTGAATACGCAATGTCTGTATATGCGAATATGCATTGGGTTGGGCCTCGCTCAATTTCAACAAAACGGCCGATAGTCATGATATAGATGTTCCATTTCGCCTACGTACTAACTACACTTCCAAGCGTTCCTATGTTGTTTTTCTCTTCTCGGTGACCTGATTATAAACCATATATCAAGTATCTATTCATTAGTCCATTATATCAATAAATTTACTCATCTGTCGCTTTCTTCGTAATCACCAGGATCAACAGCCTATTATTCTCCCACGTGTCCTTAAGGTTTCCGTGTCTTCCAGCCATTATTCAGTTATTCGTCTATTTATCGATCATAACACTTTTCACTATTCGCAG